TAAAACCAAACCAAACTAGCCAATTGAACAAGTGAACCGACCTTTAATCTAGTCCATTTTGCTATTTCATTTGGTGTTAGTCAACCCAAGTGATTCAAGATTAACCCTCCAAACCCCTTAGGTCAGGTAAGTTAGGGGTTACTTTTTTAAATTCCAGACACCCATTTAAGAAGAAGAAGAAGAACCTCGCTCTCGGACTCATCATCGCCATTCTTGCTTCTCTTTGGCCTGCTTCCTTCGTCGTCAAGTTTGCTTTCTTGCTGTCAATCTCCTAACCTATGAACAATATTGCTCAGGTGCTCGATGTTGTTGCTGTGATTTTGAGATGATGTGCGCGTTCTCTTTCTTTTCTTTAGCACAGCTTCTTTGGTGGCTCTAGCAAAGATGAAGAGAGAAGAGGAGAGAAACAAATGAAGAGAGAAAAGATGAAGACCATGTGTAACCCGATATGTGAATGAAAATCCAAAAGGTAAGGTGACGGATACGCTACATGTTGAAAATAGTAAAAGGATGGTGATATTTTTCAGGGAAAATGACAAATAGGTCCCAAAAGGACTAATTAATTTAAATTAAGTCCCAAAGTGTTAAATTTCAAGAATTTGCAAGTTTGGCTCTCAATTTTATAATTTTATTGTGATGAATTTGCAACTTGTGTTTTAAATTTTAACAAAAAAAAGTAACTTTGTTTATCTTCAACCATGTTAAAATTTAAAAATTAAGTTACAAATTCATCACAATAAAATTATAAAATTGAGAGCCAAACTTGCAAATTTTTAAAATTTGACACTTTAGGACTTAACTGAATCAATTGATCCCCTTGAGACCCATCTGTCATTCTTCCTTTTTTTTCAGGCTAGAAATAGGTAAGTACAAATAAATGAGGGGAAAATTTTTATATATTTATATTATTTTTAAAAATATTTATTATTTATCATAAATAATATTTTATTATAACTTATTTGATTCCAGTTTGACCTTCCATTCAACTCGTATTGAACCTTTGACCTTTAGTTTCTAATCTCAACCGACTCAATAACTGATTTGATTTTCAATATCTTGTGTTAAAGTGACAAGAAATAGTAAACATGTATATTCAAGGGATGTTTTGGCCAATACACCTTCACAACACACCCAATTTATTCCCTCGTATGGTCGGCCAATCTGCCTAGGTATGTTACCAAGATTCACTTACTCCGTCAACATCTTCTTAATCGATTGAAACGTTGAACAAGCGCTTGCTTGAGGTGCTGATATAAAATATGCTACTTGCCAAAATGTACTTTCCGCCTGGCTTGATTTCATTTTCTGAGCTGAAAATGTTGTTTATAAGTAGCAATAAATAAGTTAGTAAAAATGATAAAATAAATACTTTTGTAAGTGTGCTTGGACACTTATTTTGATTAATGATATTTACTTCTTTCGGCCAAAAAAAATATGATAAAATAATTACCTCATGAGCCTTTGCTTTGTACAAGATCGGGAACAAATTATATTATGGGTGAACCTCTAGATTGCTTTGTTATAAATACTAAGTATCCTAAAATATTTAATTTAGAGCAATATCTTGAGCATTTTTCTCTTTGACTAACAAATTTTGATGTTAACGATTAATCTCCTTCCTTTGTAATTTGCGTCGGATTGGCATTGTAGTTCTAAAAAATATAATGCCATCCGATGCAATTATTTTTTATAAATTAAAATTGTTTTAAAATATAATTTTTAATAACATAAATTAGAATTAAAAATTATATTTTATGTTTTAGCTTTTTAAAATTTAAAATGTACTCCCTCTATTTAAAAACATAAGACATTTTTTTGACAGATTGGATGTTAAAAAATGTAAAAAAAAAATTAATGTTTCAAAGTGTAATTAATGTTCTTTTCACAAAGTGTCTACAATAAATAAATCATTTTATATTTATTTTAGAAGAAAACACCCTATTAAGGGAAATGAAAATAAAAATGGAAATGGAAATGGAGGCAAGGATGATGAAAAGTTTTGATCTAAGGGTGATGAAAGGGAAATGAAAGGAAATAGAGGTAAGGGAAGTGAAGATACCATCTTCCCCTATTAAATAAGGGTGAATATGAAAAAAATAATGTTAGTTTGAAAATAATTAACTACTTTATTGAAAACGAGATTCAATTAAAAATACTTTACAAATTTTAAAATAAATTTGTGCAAATAAAAAATAAATTATTTATTGACCAAAAAAAATAAATTATTATTTATATTTGTATATTCTAACAACTAAAAAAAGTCTTATATTATACTAGGAATAAAAAATATAACTAATAGCAGTTGCTAAAGAAATTAAAAACTTTTTAGTTATTTTTATTTGTCATTTTTTCAAAAAATAAAATAAAATTTAACTCTACTTTTTTCTCCTCTATTTCACTTCAACAATGTGGATTAATATTCATGTACATTGCACGGATCTAAAATATAATTTTATGTTAACTTTGGGTTGAAGAGCATTTCTAACTGTAAAAGTATTTTGAGGGAATAGCTAGCACCATAAAATTAAAAAATATTGAACAATTGATCCATATCTTTTTTTTTTTTTTTTGGTAGCATATGGCATCTTATTCAGGGTATCACATAACTTACTAACTAGGTATTTGTAAGCAAATAAAATTATAATCTTGAACTAGCAATATTTTCACAAGTTATATGTTTATCTTAACTTGTTAATTAGGCACTTATACATTAAGAAAATCCCAAAGCCTGTCTTGATGTCTTAATGGTCTGTGTCAAAGCATATTACACATGTTCTGGTTAAAAAGAAGAAGAGATTGATGTATTTAACTTGCCGTCTCAATATTTGTTGGTAAAAAAAGACAAATATTTGCCAGCCCACAAGAAATGTCAACTAATCGTGCTGTCACGTGTAGTATGTTTATCCCAGCTAACTATAAAACTAACAAACTCTTTTTACTAACAAATATTTATATAAACTATGACAGTAAAATTGGTTGATCATTCATTGGTATAGAGTGACACTTATTATTTATAGATATCTAGCTAGCAAGTTACTTCCTCTATTTCTATATATAAGAAGTCTTCTAGAACATTTTTTTTGTCTCTAAATATAAAGATTGTTAGCATTTTTTTAAATAAATGGACCATTCTACCCTTATTAAACTGAGAAAAAGATAAGTACTCTCATTAATTTACTTTTAAAAAAATATTTTTTATTTACAATAATTAAGAGCAAAATTAAAATGTTGTTATACTTTTAATTAGATAACTAACTTTTATTGATTTGCATGATTTAGTTAAAAAGATCTTATATATAAGAACAGAAGAAGTATGCAACATTTTAAACACAATGCCATATGCTTCATTGAAAAATAAAAGCAGATTTTTTAACTTTATGATGCTAATTACTTCTCCCTGAATATTTTAAGGGTAAAAATATTGTTGTATACAAAGCCAATAAAAAGTCAACATCAATATTCATTAGTAAAGAGCACCTTTGTAATCTGCACCAATGTTTACATTTGAGGGGTGACATGCATTGATCTAATAAATAGTTTAAGATAATCGTTACAAAATGGTTTATACGCAAAAAATAGTTAACCCTTATAGGACTGATGCCTTAGGAACAATACATTGGTAAGCCCCACACCAACGATTTAATCGTATGATTCAACGAAGGACATAGTATTATCGGCAATCTAATCTCTTCAACAGAAATGTGTCTTCAAAACTACCCTGGGAACAAGGAAGATAAAAGGGAAATGATGTAAACATAAACATAAAGAAGATTGAAGATTGAAGATTGAATAAAAAAAGACGACCAGATCACATTTCCAACATGAACCCGCAGTTGCAAAGTTCCTAAACTTGAGCCACTGTGAGCTAACTTGCGATTTAAAAAAAAAAGACAAAAAAAAATAAATTTGAATTTAAAGTAAAGCATTCAGAGCAAACATGCATGAAATTGCAGTCTAAGTACTTGACACTTTTACATTTATTTAATTCAAATTTAAATTATATCAGAAAATAATAAAAACACACCCTTCAAATATTTAAATAGTGATATAATATAATTTGAATGTGATCAAGATAAAATTGAATAAAATATTTTATTATATTCTACTTCATTCATATAATGGCTTATTTAAATTATATTGTTCACAAAATAGTGCTACCCAAGCGAGCAAATTTAAAAAGTTTAGTTATTGTTTTTATTTAAAAAATTAAACATACTTATAATTGCCAACTATATATTATATTATCTCTTAATTTGAACATAAAAGGAAAAAAACAGATACAAAAATCAAAATGTTTAAATGGTATGAACTGAATATATTATGAATAGTAATCCTATAGTTGGAGTTTAAATCATCATCATTTTCTTTTAAAAAAAAATTGGTATATTAAACTAGGGCATCAATTTTATAGTAAAAATGCCAAAACAGAATAAAGAGAAAAGAAAATGGACAAAACATTTTTATTAATTTATATATGTATAATACTAATTAATCATGTAAAAGACTGAATAACAAAAGAATCACAAAATTAAATTAATTTATATTTAAGTAGTGATATAAACATAACTTGATTAAAATAACTTTTATTATTATTTGAATAATTAATTTTTAAAAGAATATATGATTTTTTTACTGTAAAATAATAATAAAAAAAAGTAAATTTTTAATTTTTAAAATTTAAAATTTAAAAAAGGTATAAAAAAAATTTTAAAATTGACGAGTTAGCACACCAACCCGCGGTGCGTTGTGAGAGTTGGTAGAATTACAACCCATGCAAGATGGGGATCGTGTCAACCTTCTCTGCCAAAATAGATTCAAATAACTCATTATCAGCTCTATTCTATACGGTAGAGATTTTCATAGCTTCCATAAATTATCAGCCCAAAATAAATCCTTTCTTTCGGCTCCAGTTAGAATGCAGCGCAGCCAAAATATTCGTTTCCTTGTGCATGCGGCCCATGGGAGAAGACTCCCAAAAAGGCAGAAATGACGAACATCTATTAAAAAATGTCAAGCAAACCTGACTCGACTCATTTGGTCGCATTGTGGCAAAATACAACCAAATCAAACTATCATTTGATGCTGTTAAAACTATTTGCATCATCTATCAATGTAGAAATTTTTTATTCAACTCAATGGATCACTGGTTATTTGAACCCATCCTTGCAAGTTCCAGTCTTATAATTTTTATCAAAATCCCCCACTAACGCTATCCCTTGAATAAATAACAGTTTTTGTTAGCTCAATAGACTTGAGTACTTGACCTGTTGACCATCCTCCCAACCTCAGAACACAATAGAAGACAAAACAAAATAGAAGGATGGAAAAAGAATGGAATGCAGAATGACAGACCAACCTCGATCTCTCTGAATCAACATCCAACAGTTTTGCTTCACATTCCTCCTAGCAAGGAAGAGCCTAATTTCATAAAACCCCAAATTTCGTCGTGTATATAAAACCTTGCCTTTAGCAAGCATGAGAAGTATGTTTGCATCCCTTATCTCTGTCCCTAAGGTTTAGGCCATGAGACACCTGCATAACGAAATTTTAGTGAGATTTCTCGAATAATGACTCTCAAATAAAAAGGTCAAGAAATTGTCAAATGCCCAATTAAGACAGTGAAAACGTTAGTTGTATTTGGAAAAATGTCTAGCATTGTCAAAATCAAGTTTGTGCTTCCGCAAAGGCGTGTTTCCAAACACATCAACAGTAATTCACATTAACATGACACCATATGCCAATCTGATGTATAATGGATTCAAATCCAATTTTTTGTGAGCCCTAACAATAACAATGAAATACATAAAATATGTTCAGCAGCCTTACACTAAAAACCATAGCCGGAAGATGATTGTTGCTTAGTTACAATGAGAAACGGCATGATGAAACCTCATTCAAGTTCTCCTAGTAAAATAGGATTGGGACAGGAAGTAAACGCACAGTATTTAGATGATGAACAATAGAAAGCTGAATGATTAGGCCCTGATGTTTACTTCCAAATTCATTTGTGATAAACATCCATGACACCGAGGAGAATCCATTAGATCATTAACTGTTTTCAGTTACCAATTGAATAATTTTTTTTAATAGTGTTATCCGATGGAGACTTTGCAGTATAGAATACCAAGTCCCACATTAAGTAACATGGAATGTTCAATGGGATATTTAAGCAGATTGGTTTTTCCACCTCAATAGCTAGCTTTTGAAGTAAGGTTCTCCATACCACTTAGGTACCCATCAATTGATATTAGAGTGAAGCAGTCAATGGCTCTAAAGAGGGCTACTTATGGAGGGTTTTGACCAATAAGAAGTCGAGTTAAATGCCATGGCGTGTAGCAGCCAAAACATCGGCTATCCATGAGAGGCCAATTGACAGAAACCTGGCAGCATGGGATATTAAATCCCACATTGAATAGTATGGAAGGTCAATGGGGCAGTTAAGTCAGTTGGTTCTCTCACCTCAATAGTTAGCTTTTGGCGTAGGGTTCCCCATCCCCCTAAGGTACCCATCATCATCTTCTTGGAGACATTCAGCTTTTACACCAGCAACATATGGCATGCAATGGCAATATAGTTAAGATCAAGAATGCCAAATAAAATGCCCAGAAGAGCGGAGAAATGGTCACCAATTGAGAGGATATATTAGGGCTCTTAATGCAAACAATTCTTGTGGGAGATGAACCCAATGCATTAAATACTTGTCATGATCAGCACGAACACATGAAGCATGCCTTATAAATGAGAAAACTCACTTAATTATTTAATTCAATACACACACACACACACTGAACATTGCTCTCTGCCATCAAAATCTCCTTTGCCTTGTCACACAAGTCCTTCACCTGCAGAACAATGAGTTAGACAAGTGAGATAAGAGTTCAATCATTGAAGAAATAAAATAAAATAACTAGTTTTCTATGAAACTCCAACCACAACTTTCAATTATTCCCGATCACATGAGGACAGCATTAACGTTTCAAGGATTCTTTTGATTCTTTGTTCATTAGTAGGTGCTCTCAAGGAACCAACAGGTTTGGACACCTCTCTGGCTTTTCAAGACCTTCCACATTAATAGAGAAAAATATACCGCTGTGAATGACTGTCAGATTGAAGCAGTACCACAAAGATGATTAAGCAACTATGATGCAACCAACCACTATTGCCTGAGTTAGATAGCAACATTTTGGAGAGGTCCCAAGGTTTTCCAACTCCGTTGCCAGCAATCACAATAAATGGTCAATAAAGGTAATTGGTTTTTCCGTAAACATAGATTAGGAAACAACGCATGCATCAACATGTTTTAAACTAATTTGGTTGTAACTTAATTAAATGGAATCAAATCAAAAACGCATTTGAGGAAGTTTTGTGATCAATTCTAATTATAAAGGAAAGAGTGTTGAAAGGATTTCCATGCATCTAAGTATTTAGTCATAGCAGCAACAGCATGGATTAAAATATGATACTATCACACTCCAATTGCTTGGGCAAAAATGTAAGGAGTTCTGGAATTTAAAATGTTGTTTTAATCTTTCCAAAAATAGACAAAAGAACGCTCACAAACCTATTCAAACCTACTGATAAAAGAACACAGCATTGACCACAAATCAACAGTCTCTGCTTGTTCTGGCGGCAAGAGATGCCAAGAAACCAAACAAATTATCCTGTGCATTGAAGAGAAGGGGGAGGGAGAGTGTATGGTTTCTGTTTGTATCTTGTAAATGAAGTAAACAACTACAACTGCTCCAAGACAATTTATTTGCCCAAACAGCAACCTTTTGGTTTCATTATATTTACATATAAATGAGAAAGAGAAGGGAAATAATAATTCAACAAAGTTGAACAGTACCTAGTTTCTGATGTTCACCAATAATCCCCACAAGAGCACACCCCATCACTGAAATGGTGGAACCTTTTAGCATCTCGAATGATGAGGTCTCTGCCAACAATCTTGGAAATAATCTTTAGTGCATTATGACAATCACCACAAAAACGGAGGTTTTTTATAACCCTAATAGGAGAACGGGCAGAGCTGGTTAAGAGACCATAACCAACAGCAAGTCTCTCACTGTGGGCAAGAAGAGCTTCCTCTTTGCCTTCTTGGTCTATGTCATGCAACACAAATCTTGTTTCTGGAATATAGCCAGCTTCTTTCATTTGTGACCTCAAGCTTCTAAGCAAAGCATAAATCTTATCATTCTCAGGATGAGAAGTATCTCCTGCTCGATATTCATGGACTCTGCTCCTTACTTCCAAAAGATTTTGGTTCACTAACTTCTTCTTTTCTTTCTCTTTTGCCAGGTCTGAGGTTTTTACAGGTACAAGGCCAGCCTTAGATTGCTCATTTAAGCGACAAGGGTCCAACTGCTCAACTAATTCAGAACAGCGATCCCCTAGATCCAAGTTCCCATGAATTCTACAATGATTCATCAAGGTCTCCCATACATCAGCATTTGGCTCCACTGGCATATTTTCAACAAATTGAAATGCTTCATCAAGATGTCCAATACTTCCAAACATGTCTACTACACTGATATAATGAGCCATAGATGGTACAATGCCATAACTTTTGCTCATTGACTCAAAATGTAGGATTCCTTCATCAATATCACCCAGCATAATGCATGCAGCAAAAACACCAATGAACATTTTTCCATCAGGTTTTAGTCCCATTTTCTTGAATTGAGTAAAAAGATCAATTGAATCTTCTGCAAGCTCATTCTTTGCAAGCCAGGTTATCATAGTATCCCAAGTTGTCAAATTGCGCTTTGGCATATTATTGAACACCTTGAATGCATCATCCATAGAACCACATTTTGAATACATCTCTAGTATTTTGTTATATATGCTCACATTGAGAGGTGACAGATACTGCAAGACATGTTTGTGTATGATTTTTGCCTCTTCTAGAGCTTTAGCCTCCCCACATTGGTGCATTAATTGCAAATATCGAGGCAAATCCACTTGAATATGCCGCTTTTTCAACAATCCTAAAATTTCTACAGCTTCTTTCACTTTGCCCTCCTTGCAAAAATTATCTAGTTCCTCAAGGTTATCCTTATACGGACTAGTAGCAAATGCCTCAGCTGACTCTATCTCAGGTTTTGCATTATTTGATAGTTGAGAACCAATTGTTGAACTCTGTGCTGTTTGCAAATGCGGAGGATATTGACTCTCCTTTATATTCCATGGAAATGCTCCAGAACCTGGGTCACACTGATTACTCATTTTGTTATTCCATGGGAATTGATTTTTTGGTTCATACTGAAAACTGCTGCAGTTTTGGTCAAGGTTCCCTTTCAGATTTCCCACAGGCTCAGAGAGGATCTGTGAGCTATACGTATTGGAATGATATGCCCTTGCTCTTGGTCCCTCTGTCCAAGAGGCATATGAACTCTCCAGATTTCCACTCATGCCATTTAGGTTCTGTTGAGCATAGAACCCATCTTGGTTCTCAACAAATGCACTTAAATGCTTCCCAAAGCCCTTTGAATTACCAACACCAGCCCTATCTAGGTTCTGTTGCATTCCTGTGTTGTTTCGGCCACAATAGCCATCAGGAACTCCTCTTTGCCTGGCCAAATTATGCTGGAAAACATTTATATTACTATTCAAGTTAGGTTCATCAAAAATCTGATCAGTTCCACTAGAAAATCTCTCTGGAGTATCATTTTTATGTTCATAGATTCCACCAAAATTCCCACCATGCTCAGTTTGTTTGTTCCCAATTTCATTCTGAAGACCTTCAAAATAGCCCCTGCATTGGTGAAAGCTCTTCGGATTGTGCACTGAACTTCCTCCACAAAACCCGCTTGCATGTGTTTGATTAACATTATCTGAACTTTGCTCGTACTGTGACTGATAAGAATTTGTGCCATTTGGACTTGTAGGATAAAATTTGGCATGACTTTGCTGATAATTTAAAGAATCATCTTGGTGATAAGCACTGACCGATTGGAAATCCAACCTTTCAGCAGAAGTACAGAGAGTCTTCCAAGTATTACAGATTTTGATAGAATCCACATTGTCGAGTGAATAACCTTTGCTGAGTAACCTTGTAAGAGAATTGACAGTGAGAAGCGAGGATCTCCTAGATGACATTGGTTGCTTGTACCTAACTAGTTCAAATGTTTGTCAAAAGTTAAACCGGAAAGAAGCCAACAGAGAGAGCATGTGTTAGATGAAAAGAAAGCAAAGGCATCATTGAAAATAATGAAAGAAGCAGGGATTCCTTTTAAGTTTTTATCATCAAATGATGCTGAGTTAGACTTAGACCTGTGTGTTTTTAACTTTAAGCAGCAAAAACAACCCTCAGTTGGAGCAGAAAACTTCTTCCAATTGCATAAAAAATCGTTAGACTCAACCCTGCAAATCAATGAAATCATATCAGCACTCTGATAGAACTGCTCCGATCCTCTTGACAACTTGATCTCGATAATTTAGATAAAATAACACTGAATGAAAATAAGAAAATGCAAGATAGTTGCAATGTTCAAATTATGAACGGGGTATAACAAAATCAGCACACAAAATCAAACCCCACTTGTCACCCACCCTAGATAAACAACTAACCAGCGTGGTCATATGGAAATGATGCTGCACCTTCATTTTTACTAACTCAGCCACTAAGCTTCACTTGGAACCTAACCAAATGGTTGTGCTCATATTTGTCTTTTGACTAAAACCTTGTAACAGGATTCTTATGTTCTTTTTTGTTGAAATAAATACTGTCATTTTTAATTACCAATCCACAAAGTAGTTTTCTGGATACTTGTTATACACAAATTTTGAAATCATCACAACCATTCATAAATTATGTTTGCTCATCCCCCCCCCCAAGGCTGAAGAAAAAAAACAAAAAACAAAAAAGAGAAGGTCATGCTCATGCATGTCCTATATGGCACAATTTCGGGTAATGCAATAAAAAAATAACTATACCCTATAAAAAAGTACCCCCCCCTCACATCACCCAAGAGCTCTTCACAATATTTGCACCAACTTGCAACAAATAAAAATTATGCCAGTCACATATTCAGTTAAGCAATAGAAAATTCATAAACAGGAACAGAAAACAACAGCTGTGATATTTCTCAGCACATGCACAAAAATATCTCCATGCCTTAGATGCAAGTCTCAACAGCCTGTGTGCACCACCAACTACAATAACTTCTTCAACAACAGTTATATGTCAACACAATAGATAACTCATGTCTGACAACCAAAGGAGGAAAGGTAATCCATATAGTGGAAAATAAAATGTTACCTTCGTAGCATTTAGTGCATATTCAACTCTCAATTTCTTTTCTTTGAGCTCAATTTTAGTTTGTGCTCCAAACTAAAACATAACATAAATATTGCATTTACTTGAACTAATACGGTAGGCAAATTCAAAATTGATTAATTAGTAGATCATAGTACACTTACCTGCATCACAGTTACTCTGCTTGACAATTTTGCAATTCTTTCCGTAAGAATCTCCTTTTTATACCCCTGCTTTGAAACCTACAGTAATATGCAAAAACATAGTTAAAACCCAAGGAGAGATAAGTAGCTCCCCCTTCTATATTAAAGTTAAAATGTTGCTTTTATTAATATCGTATAATGTTCTACCATATATAATGCTCTAACAATCTCAACAAAAAAGAATCAATGATGCTATTTATGGCAAATATGAAATTTCAAGTTACTTGCACCAAAAAATAATCATGTTTTCCTATATTTGTCCCAAAAAATCATGTTTTCCTGTATGAATAACTCCTATATGAATAATATAAGAGAAGTCAAAGATAAGTTTTAAAATCTATTTATAAATACTGTTTAATGCTTCTATTCTTTGCTTATGGACATATGCATACATCAAATATCAAATAATATCAACATGACGATATTTTGGATGCATTAGAATTTCTTCTTTAGATTGTATATAAAATATAAATATGCTTGTAGTCTTGGCCAAAAGAAGGACAGGCTTGCAATGACTTTAGGAGATTACCTTTAAAAATTATGATATATTAATTCTTGGGTATATATATATATATATATATTTTTACTTGCTTTTTGATCTTAACTCCTATTCAACATTTCTACTCCAATGAAATATAAAGGAAAAAAATACAAAAGTAACAACTATTCATAACCAAGATATGAATAGTCACCAAAAACTGGTAAAAGCCATCAGATAGCACAAGAAAAAGGTACTTACCAAGATACAGAAATTTATCCTGATACAGAAACATCTGTATATTTTCCTTAAGTTTAGCAGAAACGTAATAACTACCTTGCCTTGCATTAGCAGTTCAGAAAATAGTTAGGATATTTTATCATTGGCAATATCAGTCTGTGTCCTAAATAGACTGTCGTAATTAAAGATGCAAATGTCCTCACAAAAAATGTATACTTTTGAAAATTAATCAAAAGATTAGACCGCTTCTCTCTTTATTTTGTGCAAAAAATTATGAACATATTAAGCTAACAGAAAATTTTCATCCAAACAGGGCAAACTGAATAATTGAAAGATTCTGAACAAGCTATAAGTGTTAAAGAAGTCTGGAACTTGAAGGGCTGGTGTATGAGCCTCCTAGAGTAACACAATTTGGGTTGAAAACTTTTGTTGAGGAAATTTAAGTTCAGCCCTTAAGACTACAAATATATGTACTCTCCCAATCTTCTTCTTCCAATAAATTAGCCCCAACAAGTTTTTGCTGCCACTTAATATTATTCCTACACACCTACCCTCTCCAAAAACACTCACATTCTAGATCAAATTTTCTTAAGTCAATTATCGATATCTCACAAGATTGTTTTTCAGAATTCTAAAATAATAGAAAAAAACCTTTCAGTAATTACTTCACCAGAGGACCGACAATCCAAATATTCAATATAAAAGCCATAAATATATAACACAAAATAGAGGCATTGAACTTAAATATGCAGGTGAAGCCTCAAAGAATCTTTAAAGGCACAAGCTCAATCCCATGTTGTTTAAGTGGGAAAGACGTCATCGATTTGAGTTTCAAAGTCAAAATGGAGCATGAGAGAATTGCCATAAATCATAATTCATGCTCGAATTTCACTACTCAATGCCTAGCATTGCCTGCCAACAACATATCGCTTCAAGTATCTCATAGAATGAACAAGAAATTAACAGCATCAGCAAGTAGCAAGTAGCAAGTAGCAGAAATAATTCAGAGATAACAGAACGTGAAGAAATCAGAGGACCCACAACAAGCAACTCGAATCAGAGGCAGCACTTGTCGAACGGCAAATATAAGATGTCCCGATAGACGGTGGCGGCGAAGGGGGGGGCTAGGGCCTCGTTTGCGACCTGCGAGTGAGCGAATGGGTGCGTTGTGCGAGCGACCAGAGCGGGGGGCCGATCTCCCATTCCAATTTTTAGTTTCTTTTTTCTATAGGTTAACTTATTATTATAATAATTAATAAATTAATTATAATTATATTAAATAAAAAAATTTAAAGGACCAAACTGATTCCAATAATCTAAACAATCAATCTTTTATCCAATTCAACTCAAAAAAAAATTCTGAATTTTTTAGTCTTTTTAATTCTAAAGGATCAATTTTTACCCAGATCGAATTGGATTGGAGTTGTCTAGGGTTCAATCAAGTCAAATCAAATTAAAGGACTTTTACAGGACTTTGAGTTAGAGAAAAGGAGAGGAAAAGGTTGAGTCGAGAGATGAAAGAAAGTTAGAAAACTTAAAATTATGATCAAATGCTTAAGGTTTTTTCTTTGATGCAAAGATATTGATACACGTATCGAGTACATTAATATTTTTATTTTTAAAAATATAAGATGCAATGTATTTATGATATATGCATGTATGTTTATAAAAAAAATCATAAAAATGTTAAAAATATAATTTTAATTAAAAAGATCTAAACTAACATGCATATAAGTCCTTTTTAGTAATATCAAGCAAAATATAATCATTAATTGTACTATTATTATATATCTACCTAATTGCCTACCTTCTAATTTTTACTAATAGTTCCCTATTTAGGATTTATATGTCAAAAGATTATATTCCTCTATTTTTATAATTAATATTTTTTATTTTTTATTATATCTAAAACTTATTTTTTTAAGGAAATTCTAATCTTTACTTTAAAAGAAAATCAAAAAAAATATATTAGGAACAAAAAAGATTAATATCGCAATATTTAAAAAAATTTAATTTTTTAAAAAATAGCCATGAAGTATAAGCTTTAAAATATCAGCTTGCAATCTAAAAATATTGGATACATATAAAAAATTAAAATTTAAAAAATAATATTTTTATAATTTACAAATACATATCAGTGGGTAGTATCAAACACGGTATTGATACGGATACGTGAGACAATTTGTAGCATCGATGCTTCATAGGTACATTTTTTCCATTTGCCAAATGTAACATTCTAGAAATTTAAACCCGAATAACTCAGTTTAATGAAGGTAATTAAGTTTATTGCTGTGATGTTTGGCCAGAGAGGTCTAAAAATTGTGTTTGATTGTAATTTCAGTTCTAAATATAGGCTCGAAGTGAAGCTAGGCCATCCGGTCATCGAAAGATAAGAAAGAACTAAAGCAAGGTCTTTGATGCTACATGCTGTGGTGTGAAGGGACGTCAGTCATGGCACACAGAGGCAACTAATGAAAAATGTGCCTCTCTGTGCCATCCATCACAGCGTGGGCCGTGTGTGCCATGGTACACGACCAAATTTCTGCTTAAACTAATCGTGCTTTGTTCAAAAAATCAAAAGACAAGAGAAAAGTAAAACAAGAGCAGGCCACTACCTCTATTAGGGCACAAATTTAGAGATCATTGGAGACATTTTGAAGCTTCCTAACACTCAAGGTAAGTGCATTTTGCTTCTTTCTCCCCTTTTCCTTCTACTTTCATGAAAGTTAAATTTAGGGTTTGAGTTAGGAGAGTAATTTTCAGTCTATATGAGCTATGGGTCCCGAACCCATTAGCTAAAATAGATATAATAAGAGTTGTTTAGAATATTTAAACCCCACATTAGTGGTTTAGTTACTTGTTAGTTGATAAGGGCCATTAATGGCCAAAAAGTAACAATTAGAAAGGTTGTTGGGACTGTTTTATGGCATTTAATGGTGGTTTAATGGCTCATTAATGATAATGTGGGTTATTGAAACATAATAAATTCATTGGATATATTTGAGAGTGGATTTGTGATTTTGATTAAGGGAGAATGTTGAGTTAGAATGTTGGAAATTGCCCAAAAATGGGGCAATAATGAATATCTTTGTGATTTCACTATAGACTATTAATTTTGGCACCATTCAAACTACTTGACAAGCTTTGGAAGTTGTGTTTTAAGGGCCAAACCTTTAACCTCTCAAAGGTTTAAGGTAACAGGGGGAAAAATCTAGTTTGTATAGTTGTTTATTAATTAGTTATTTATCGAATTTAATGATTTGGAACTTGTTTGGTGTTTGAAAACCATTAATGCAAATTTTAGCATTATATATATATATATATATATATATAGATGAGCATATCATTATGAAAAATGATAAATGTGTGGTATTTGGCATGCGAAGTGTGATGAATATGTGATTTTCGATATGTGGATAACTATGGAGAAATAAAATTATGTGAACTAATATGATGTGATGAATTATGTTAAAAATGACATATTAAGTATCAATATGTACATAACATGATCATTAGCCAGAGTTTCGCCTAAAAAGAGGAGTAGATTGATAAATCCATGTGATAATGGCGGTTTACTACTAGAATCGAAAGCTTGTCTTGGCACCGACCATTGAAATCGAGAGGTAGTCATTTATCCCATGGTTGATTCAAGACTATCCTACTTATTCTTCGAGGGACTAGAACCTAACTAGTCTCCACCAATTTATGAGGAGGCTAGATTAAGAGTATGACATGTTGGAAATTGCCATAAAGCCAATCATTATACTATGCACATTGTTGTTTAATGAATTTTTCTTTTGTTGTCATATCAATTGTATATTCACTATGATAATTGTATCCTTAGACAAATTATAGTGATTGTCCTAAATGTCCCTAATCTATGATAATTGTTTCATCTATGAGGGATCATAGATGAAACAAGACTAGTATGATTTTAATTAATTATAGAGATACAAATCAAAGTCATAGGCACTTGAAAGAGTACAAGATGTTGGGCCAACCCGCTGTGAGAAAGTTGTATGGTACAAGTCATAAGTTTATCTCATATGTAACCATATCACTAAGTCCTTTGACTTGAAATCATTATGGATTCCTACTTGATGACTACTGCACTTTGATCTAGTCAAAAGTCACCTTTGACTAGATGATAATAAAGGCAATGATTGAGTTTAGTGATATTTATGCAAAGGAATTTGAGTAATCAAGACGAAATTTGTCCCTTACATTAAGTGAGAGATATTACTGGGCCCCTCGATGAGTAAGACTGAGAAAATATATGGCCATATTACAATGAAAAGGGTTTTTCCATTGCTACAATCAGTCCACTCAGAGATCAAGAAAGTAATAGTCAGGTAAAGGAGAATGACAATTCCATGTCTTATACTTGACCGAAATATCACGTGACAAAAGGGATGTGATACAATTACATGATAGGTTACATAAGATCATCAATTCCCATATGAATTGGGTAGTTGCAATGTCTTGCTAGAGGCCACTAGTGACTTTTGGGCCTACAAAGTCGTACACAAGAACAGCACAACTTGAGTTATAATGTCCAAGTTTAATGAATCTAGAATAGGTCTAGATTCAATGAATGTCATATAAGGTAAATGAATTTTATATATATATTTGAATATTTATTTAATATATATATATATATATATTTATTTATGTGAAATATAAAATTCAAAATATAATTATATATATATATCGAAATATATGTGTGTGTATTATTGAACCCTGGTTTTGATGATTACAAAATAAAGAGAAGTTTTGTGCATTTCAGGCTTTCATAACTAAAATAATTGGCTTAACACTAAAACTAACTAAGTGAGAGCATATACGAACAGAAGGTATGTTATTTTATTAGTTAAGTCTTTGACTTAACTATAATCTCTTGTACTAGATGTTGTCTTGTTTAAAAATATTTCTAAGTGTTGATAACACCAGTACTAGATGCCTTAACACTGGTATTTCCTCTATTATCTTCACAGTTTTATTGATTCATGGTTTATATAACACCAGTCATACTCATTACAACACCGATGTTACCATTTTAAAACTTGTGCAATTGAGTCTCTCTTTTCAAACCTTTTTCCTTGCATTAGGTACTATCTTTCAACATCAATCTTACACCTGTACTAAGTCTTATTCAAGTTTGTGCAACACCTATGCTAACACCTCAACACTGGTATTGTACTTTCTTCTGTCCTATGAAGAGATTTGATTGATTGTTACTTTGATGTTATTTCCTTTTAACACCGATGTTAAATAATCTTTTCAAAAATATTCTAATTCTTCCAAAAATATCAAAAATCTTCGTCTTTTACGTATTAAATTACACTGGTACTATAAAGGACAACAATTGTGCTATAACGTTCTTTCTATGGCTGCTTATGACTGTAACACCGGTGCTGGATCAATGTAACATCGGTACTACTATGAATCTTTGTACTATGTTTTTCGTATGTCTTCCGAAGGTCATCTGAACTCATTCTTTAATTCTTCTTTTCATTTAAAATCAATTATGTTCACTCTATATCCTTACCAAGTGATATCTAAACACAATTATTTCCATGAAGTTATTATGGTTGCTCATGTTTGATTTGGTCACCGAGCTTGCTTTCTATTATTTCAAAACATATAAGCTTCAACTACTTTTGTTAAAAGCATTTAATGTTTCTAGCCATTACTATACAAAAGAGGAAGTCTCTGCCATAAAGCACTATTCCATTGGCTAATCCACCGGAGAACTTCAGAGAAGCTCAGATATCCAAGGAAACTCGAAGGTAGAAGGAAACATATCACAAGCAACCTCCAATGGAAAAATTTACGAGTCTCACGGATCATTTATGATCCTCAACTATAAATAGACTCATTTATAAAATCTGAAGATGGAGAGGAACAACGAGAGCAACAAGAACATTTTGCATTTATTTTGAGCATCAAAGTTTACCTACCTTCTGTGTGTCATTTATTAATAGAGAGTTTCATTGATTATATATCTACGCTAAAAGAGAGTTTAAAAGCAGTAGTAGTTCATTCTTGAACTTACTCTATTTATCCCTGTTTTACGTCTTCAAAGTAGAGGAACTTAAACTTAGGGAGCTTAAAGAAATTTATCATTACCTTTATAAGGGGGAGAGTTTCAAACTTATTGAGAAGTTTGTTTATGTATTATGGTAACCAAGAGC